TAATACCGCTGTCTCAGTGCCTGGCAGTTTGCTGCTTTTTAAACTGGAGGCGGGTACAGCAGCCAGAGAAACAAAGCCCACAATTACAGCTCATTAAAAAAACATTACCTGGTCATTAAAAGTCAGTGTAGAGTATTAGCTTGAAATGTTATCTACCTGAGCATAGTTTTCCCTGTGGGGTCATTACTCTTATCCTGTTTGACATGTATCATAATATACACCACACAAACAAACTTATGTAGGAGACCAGAATCTCATCAGATACCAACAATACTCATATTAAGAACAAAGAACCTGCAAAAAAAACAGCTGCTGTTAGTTTGGAAACTGCTGGTTTTCAGTTTGCTTTTTCTAGATCTTTTAAAACATCTCATAACATTTAATTGACTTAATTAACATGCGTAGTTCTCTGAACGATTTGTGAAAAATGCAGATTCTAAACTTTCAGTCGTCTCCTTGTTTTTGCCATGTGTACCATGTACAGTGAAAGGTAGGTAGGTAGGTAGGTAGGTAGATAGATAGATAGATAGATAGATAGATAGATAGATAGATAGATAGATAGATAGATAGATAGACCTAAACCTAGCCCTAACTCTAAATTCAAGGCAAAACCTGCACCTACTCCTAAACCTGGCCCCCAACATAATGTTGTTGATAATCAATTGAGTATCACCAGAAATGTTGTTAATGATTTAAGTATCTGTAGATCATCTATAGGGGACCATCTGAATAAAGTGTGACCCTGAGTTTCTACTGTGATGCTGATATGGTTTTACTATGTGTAGTAAGCTAATAAACTAATATGGTCCCTGATAATAAATAATGGTATTTTTCCACGTTCAAAAACAAGAACTGACCCAAGAACCAATGGAAGATACGGTATACTTCAGGCTCTGGTTCCACTTTGAGAGATAGCTGGAACTATCCCCATAACGTAATTAACAATTTACGTATTCATTGATTTATCAATTTGGTCATTTCATGCATAAAAATCTCAATTTCCTAATTTTACTGATTTGCTAAATTGCTTACTAATTATCTATGCATAACACTAGATATGCTGACATGAAATAGGCCTAATAAAGTAAGCTTTCTTTTGGTCACACTCACATAACTGTCTACATTTACATGGAATCATGTAGAATCAAACAAATCTTATATTTTTCTCTTTTGAGTGCAAAAATCTGAGAAAAACATTTATTCTGTGGCCAGTAATTTTAGTGTCAAGCCTATGTTATGTTCATGAAATCTTTATTGTCAACACATCAACATACCATCTTAATTCACCTTTTTCCGCACTCACTGCTGACATTGTAGTGCTTAGTGACTTTATCCTCAACGAAAAGAGTAAATAATTCCCTGTATTGTTGTTTCAGCTGGAAGTGTTACTAAAAACAGAGGAAAATGTCCTCAAGTAGAGTTAGGAGTCATTCTATGGAAACGTCCATTTTTGTGTCCTTAGCATTTACAGATATATTGTACTTGAAAAACACATTAAGGTTAAAATGTATTTAGATTTTAAAATAAAACAATGTTCTTTTAACAATTACACCTTCTTCAGCCATCAATTTATCAATACTGGCTTTTAAATTAATTATATAGAATTCCAGGCACCACAGAAGCGCTCGTCCTCACAGTCATGTATGAAGGGTGAGACCATATTTTGAGGTAAAAAACGTTTTTTTTCTGCAATTTTAACTGCAATAATCTAAATATGACTAAAATATATGATTTAAATGACATAAAAAAACAAATGCCAAATAAATATTATAAAATATATTTTGAAAGTTGATGTCCCCAGGAGTCGTGTCACTGGTGTTACTGCATAGCAAAAAAATCTCTTATTTTGAAATAAAAATCACACTGATGACATCACTTGACTTCCTTTTGCTTATTTTCTGAGGATCTATGAAGAAAAGCACATGGTGAGTCCACTGTGTCTTTCAGTTATCAGAGATTTTCTCGTTCAGCTCATGATTTCATATGAAGCTTTTAGCTTAAGTCACTGGAGTGACCGACTTTATTCTTAGGTAACTGTGAAAAAAATAGAATTTAAATGGATTAAATTACGTATTTTAGTGGATATTCTATGATTGACAACATGTGGTAAACATTCTGTAAAATGTATTTTTCATTATTAATGTCACTGGTGTTACCTTTCTTATGTGTAACACCAATGAGGATCAGTAACACCAGTGACTCCTGTGGACAGATAAAGTGGACATTTCTGTAGAGTGACCCTTAGGTCTCGTTGGTACCAAACTTGAGCAGGTTCCATTTGTTACTGGACTGCACAGGTCCAGCTTTCTGGTGCCAAAAGTTTTGGTACTTTGTACAGTGGACAAACAATTTATGACACTGTTATGGTGGCTCAGAGTAACTGTGGTTATTGCATATTTAACCGAGATTCAGGGTCACTGCGGCACATTTTGTTAAATGAGTTTACAACACATCTAACTACGATACTGCCACAGTTATAGTATGGTAATTATGGTTATAGTGTAGTGACCTATGGTTCTCTCTTTGACTAGTATGGTACCATTTGGTAACTATGTTTATAATACTTTTAACTATGACACTGCCATGAAATGACTATGCGATATTATGGTGTCTATGGTTGTTACACTATCAACAATGACACTACCATGATTCCTGTAGTTCTGTGGTAACCTTAATTATTAAACTGACTAT